TCACGTGTCCGTTGTCCGTATGCCTTTAATTATCAGATAGACCCTAGCTGTTCCATTTAGCAGGTATGGCTGTTAGAGGTGATCAACGTCACGTGGGCTTCAACAGTCGCAAGCCAGTATTTATGACTTTTAGCGGAAGAAAGCGTCGTGTTGGCTGTCATTGTACATGGCAAAGCAGTTGTGGTTAGCCGTAAAGTAGTCGGTCGCGGGTTGAAGAGAAATGGTTTAGTTTTAAGTTTGTTCATTCTTCTTTTCATGCAACCCTTCAAGCAAGTTGCAATTATACTAGCCACGCCCTGTAAGAGTACCGTGACTGGCTTCGCATAAAGGAACAATGCACAAGGGAACTCGCCGGTGCTTATACAATTTGGTGATTGTGTTTTGATGAAATATGATAATGAAATGATATGATATGATAATGACATTTGATAAAATTTGATGATTATAAACTGTATGCACGCGTGTGTATGAGCGCCCGAGCGTGTGTGTGCGTGCGTGTGTGTGTGTGTGTGAGAAAAAATTATACTGCAGGAGCTGGCTGTTTGAAGACAAGCGGGATGAATATTAATTTCAATTAGAATGTGATTTGATGATTTGTCCTTATTGTTTGCCTAACTAATAATTACACGCCTTATATTGGTATAATGATAGGTTCGTGTGTGTGCTGCGATTTTGACTCGTGCGGCTACGGCCCTATGTGTGTGAGTGGTGTACGGTTTATGCTCAGGGAGCGTTGTGACAGTTTTTTGGCGCGGCTGGTGAGAGTGCGTCGCGGTCACTGTCTCTATGTCCGGTATGCGCTTTATCTGATTAGACCATACCTGTTCATTAGCAGGATATGGGCTGTTAATTTGTTCAACGCGGACGGACGCACGGACGATCATGCGATTCTACAAGCTGCATCTGACTATGTCAGATGAGCTAAAAATACACTTGCAATAGTTACAACTGTCAATATTAGCACAATGTTATTTTTCGAGGAGAAATATTCTACCAAGAAAAGATGAAGTATGTGCTGATTTAATTTCCAATGCCATGGAAGGAGCATAACTATAGAAAACTTTATGCACCATAGATACATTGGATAATTACACACTGAATACAATGAAATACTTAAGACTTCAAGGCAATGTAGAAATTATCAACTGTCTGACTGTATGCTCGGGGTACCCTTTGGGCCTCATCTTATATCTCCTGATACATAGGCTTGGTACTTTCAAAACAATAATATAAGATAAACCCTCCAACATACACCACTTAATATTAAATAAATTATGCATACTAGGGCATCAGAGCCACAATTTGAATTTACCAGATTCTTTGAAAAAACCATCACCAAAAATGAACACAATACTTTCTTACTTGAGTTTGCATTAGCAATTTCATTTGTCTCATTTGGATCCAACCAAACCTTGTTTCGCCCACACTTCAACACTGAAGATGCAAGCCGTTTCTGAAGCCTGAGAGTACTGTAAGAAAATGTTTATTATATTAGTATAATTAATTTACATCAGTACTGTTAATAATAGTATTTTTGAAGACGTCCTGTGACATAGACAATTGTGGTAAATCTACACAAACCAGCAGCGAAGGCATAGTCCTACATTTAACTGATTAGTACACATGATGCGATGTACATAGTAGCATACTTTTGTCATATGCATAATTACACGTAAAAACATGTTAAATTTAACACTGTATTAGTAGAAAATATTTAGTTTGCCTTTAGAATGAAGATTATATCTGAAATAGACATGGGTAGATTACACCATAAAACACAATCAGCACAATGAATATAAATGTGAATTCTGATCATACTCTATTTCTAAATCGGCCACCAACTAAAATATAATAGCAGCAAAACTCAATATCAATGACACTGCATGTGGCCAGACACAAAATCAGGTACCGTTTACCTGGAAACACCATGTAACAGCAGTATATTATTTAGGCACTAGGTACTACTAGGAATAAGGTTTATTCCCCCTTAAAATGTGGGGAACATATAAAATGTATGTAGCAAGGTAGCTCTGCTGCAACACAATGGGCCAGTATGAGACTAGGGATGCGAGGTACAGATACAGCTAGTGTTATATCCTCCCATCAATGGTCATGCATTGCACGGCCTTATAGTGTATAGACGATCAGTCTCATGGCTGTGTCACCAAAAGCAAAGGACAAGTTGATAATCCTGCACAATCCCAGTTTGGGACCCCAGCCTTCATTTTCACACGGTTTTAGCAACGCAGCAACACAGTTTTAGAGCCGAGGCGCCCACACTGGAGGGGGATAAGTGGAAATGTGCAATGTGCAAATGATTTTAATGAATTCTATGTATGTTTCGTGCTAAATGATTATCTGCTGAACGTTTTATATCTTATCCGTTTTCTAATTTTATATTTGATGGTCGGCGGAAAAGCCATGGCTAGTTATGTTCTCTGTACAACACTGCCGACGTTAAATAAAGCTTACTTTACTTTACTTTACTTTACTTCACAAATGTCGCTAAACTAGTGCAAATATCAGTTTGAAATACACAATGGAATACCATTATAAAGCAGCTTTCAAGCAAATGTCCCAGTATCGTGACATACCCCTGTTAAAAACTGTTGGTGAAACTGATGTTACGAAAAATATTCAAGTATTTGTAGTACGTCGTTGTGCAACTTGAACTTCCACTTCATGCATAACACGAAGCATGGCCGCCACGCTGTGTGTACTGTTTGCACTCCGCACTTTCTGTCATTTCCTTGCAAAATTCATCTACGATTTGATTGTGAAATATAATTTAAACTAAAGTTTATACACTTATATGATAAAATGTCGAATTATCAGACAATTATTCCACAGAATAGCAGCCTAAGATCTAAATACAAAGTAAAATACACTGCACACCTCATCTTCAGGTTAGTTCACGACGAAAAGGAATAAACACCTCCGATGACGTTAGTTCGCTGAAACACTATAGATCCAAAATATTTTACAGTAAGAAAAACACTAGTATGAGTTGTGTAACCTATAAAAGTTCCTTATTTGCTACTTCAATAACATAGTTTAAGTGTTTAGTTGTCATAGAAAGAGCGTTATATTTGTATAACAATAATTGTATTGCGGAAATTCTATCGCGCATTAATACAATGATTCGATCACAGCGCCTCCCGTCGGTAAACGCCTCTGCGCCACTGCCGCTGCGCCGCAGCATATCTATCAAGAGTAGATAATAGGGGGATAATAGGGGGATCCCTATTATCTACTCCTGATATCTATCTAGCTATAATATGCTGCTTTGTAACCACACTTTACAATACGTGCTTGTGGCTGCACCAATGTGGCACCTCACATCGGCATATGATAGAGAAAAAATTATACTGCAGGAGCTGGCTGTTTGAAGACAAGCGGGATGAATATTAATTTCAATTAGAATGTGATTTGTCTTACTTGTTTGCCTAACTAATAATTACACGCCCTTATATTGGTATAAGATAGTGTTCGTGTGTGTGCTGCGTTTGTGTGCGTGCGTAGGCCCTATGTGTGTGAGTGGTGTAGGTTTATGCTCGGGAGGCGTTGTTGACGTGTTTTGGCGTGCTGGTGAGGTGGTCCGCGCGTCACGTGTCTGTTGTCCGTATGCGCCTTTATCTGATAGACCCTACCTGTTACATTTAGCAGGTATGGCTGTTAGAGGTGATCAACGTCACGTGTCCGTTGTCCGTATGCCTTTAATTATCAGATAGACCCTAGCTGTTCCATTTAGCAGGTATGGCTGTTAGAGGTGATCAACGTCACGTGTCCGTTGTCCGTATGCCTTTAATTATCAGATAGACCCTAGCTGTTCCATTTAGCAGGGATGGCTG